GCAAGTGCTTTTAATAGAGTAAGTGCCCACTCGTTTGTTTAGATTTCTTGTAGTTGCCTCTTCCACCATTGGGTATTGAAGGGTGAGCAAATACAGCTCAGTGAAAATGATACAAAAGAAGCCACCCTGCATCTTGAGAAATGTTCAGCATCTTAATTAGGTTCAGAGTATAATACTGTTAACAGTGCATAAATGACAGCTATTTTCTGTTTATCTACATATGGTTCCATTCTTTGAGTTTTATCCATTATCATTTAAATGAGTATTTTAAGTATCTTTTCTCCCAAAAAGCAGCCCCTATTTTTTCTTCCAATTTGATTTCACAAGATATTGTCAAACATCTTACGTGTAAGAGGATAAACAAAACACTCCATACTCCAGCAGTCACAAAGGGAGAAGCAGGGGATAGGAATAGATGCCTCCAGATAAACAATATTGTGAATCAGTACTCAGTAAACATGGGAAACAGATCTTCAATATTAAATGTTTCAGTGGGGTTTTCTGCCTCCTGCTAATCTGCTAAACCTTTTTAGGAAGCTATATTTCATGGTGCTTTCTGGAGACAGCAGAGCACAGCTGATGCTTAAAGCAATTTTTTCTTTCAGCTTGATGCAGCCATTGCTGAGGTCACAGGGGCTGTGCTCTGGCTGCAATTGTAGTGAAGTGCACTAAACTTGCACTGAGCATGAGCCAATTCCATTCTGTCACATCCTGGTATCCTCAAAATTTAGCTGTGCTGCTGCTGTGCTAGAGCTACATAATATGACTAGTGATTCCTGGCTGCATTAAAACCAATGGTGAGGCAAACGCACCCTTTCTAGTAGTTCCAAATAGCATTTCATTTGGACTCTGATAGGAAAGCAGAAGACAGTAAGTTGCAGGTGGCAGAAACAAATTAGTTCAATATCTCAAGTTTCAAACCTCGTCATCTTGCAAGAAACTCTTCTGACAGCTGTTGTCTCAGCTGGTAGCCAGCGAGCAAAATACAAAAATTATTAAACTCCAGAATTTATAATACAGGGTAGGGAGAGGGGGAGAGAGAAACAACAGTGATGGCTGCTTTTTTTTTTTTTTTGGTCTGGGTTTTCTTTTTTTAATGCAAACCACTGAAAGTCTCTTAGGAGAAGAATTGCAAAGACCAGTGACACCTTTCCTGAACTAAGGGTGAGCATGCTAGTCTCGTGTCTCAGTTTCTCTGTGGTGTTCCTAAGACCAAATTGTAGTAGGATATTGCTGCTGCTGACAGCCAGGTTTGTAGTTCATGCAAGGAGCCTCCAGTCCCTGCTCCTGTGAGGCAGCACTGCATGTCTGGCAATGAATTTGAAGCTGGGCTCTTAGTGACACAGCCTGAATCTGCCTGTCCTGAAAAGTGCAAAGTCTGTCCCTGGGTACTGGTGTGGCTCTTTGTGACTCAACTGCAGTCAGAGGGAAATGCCCTCTGCTCTGTTGGTACCCTTGGCTGTCAGCAAACTTGCACTGCTGGTTTTGGGGTGAGGGTTGGTCTTGCAGTGTGGCTTGGCATCCAGAACGTGCCAATCAGAAGTGGCCAAGGTGCCATCTTTGAGGCCTTAGAAGGGATTTATTCTTTGATGTTACCTTTGAGTGAACAAGCTGGCCAGGGTTGCAAGGCCCTTTTAGCTATTCTGGGACTGGGGATATGGACCAGATGCTCTGGGGGAAAGACTGGTTTAGAGGTGCCTGCCAGAGTGTGTCCCACAGGATCCTCTGCCCAGGAATGCACTGCATACTGAGGTCACTCCATCTGCCCTGGCTGCACAAGTTGCTGCACAGCCTTTTCCAGGGAGCCGTGGTGCTTCCTCACATGCTTGGGAAGAGGGTGCACAGCCCTAGTGCTTGAGGGAGTCAAGAAAAGACTTGGGGCACGCTGGGCCTCTGAGGATGGGAGGCTGAACTTGCTGAGCCAGAGCTGTCAGCCCCAGTTCTTCATTAGGTGGCCCTCAACCAAACCTCACTAAGCCCCCCTCCAGCAGCAGCAGCTCTCTGAGGGTCCTGGAACAAACTGTGGGGTTGGGTTTGGTGCTGCAAGCCACAGGTTCTGTGCCTGGCCAGGTGTGTGAGGACATGAAAAGAGAAGTGTCTTATGCTTCTCTCCCTCCTAATACCTCCATGAGGAAGACCAGCTGCTCTCCCCAGTCCCTATGGAAGTGGTGCCTCAGAGCAGGGGACATGATGCGTACTCAGCTCACTGGAGGTGCCCCAGGTATTTGGCTGTTTCCCTTGGGGCTCTGGCCATGCCTGCTGGGGGTGTGCAGTGGCAGAGGGCTCACAACACCGGCTTGCTGTGAAACTGGAAACCAGCACTGGAAACCTGCTGCAGAGGTGCTGTGGGGGCAAAACACGGGGAAGACCTTCATCTATGGGAAAAGGCAGGGCTGCAGCTGCACTCAGCTCATCAAGATAGGATGATGCTAGATATATCTAAAGCTATTACCCTTTGCTGGGAATGGCCTGGCTCTATCCTGCAGGCCTGTGCCATACCAATAAAATCATACTGCAATTCCATGGTGTATTTTCTATCCTATATCAGTAGGGTTTAAAAAGCTGTGTGTTGTTTTACCTAAAATTTCATTGATGCTTGAGGGTTACTTAAAAAAAAAAAAAAAAAAGGTGTATTTCCTTCATATTTAAGGTAATACCTTATGCTTCAAGCTAGGCAGCTGTGCAAATCCCAACTGGATCAGAGCCACAATATGCTACCCTTTTTTTCTAGAGCAAAACTGATCCCAGATGATCCATTGCTTTAAAACTTGGGCAATTTATGCTCCTAATATTATTTATACAAAAAAAGTCATAATGTAAATGCAGAGTCTTGGTGCTTTTCCTTAAATGCAACACATGTCATCTCAGTTATATAAATTTATACAGGTTAAAAAACAATGAGTATGTTCTCCTTATATGAACAAAAGCTCTTAAAAGTATTGCCTACACCGCACAAGCTTCTGGAAGGCTTTCTTGAAATCTTCATTAAAGATTGTGTAGATTAAAGGGTTAATAAGGGAATTTATATATCCCAGCCATGCTAGGAAATTAGACATGTCTTCTGAGATGTGACATCTTTCACAGGTATTAACAACTACTTCCTTTACAAAAAAAGGGAGCCAGCAGATCACGAACGCCCCCAGGATCAGACCCAGCGTAGTTGCTGCCTTTCTCTCTCTTGTGCTAGAGATTCTCTGTTTTTTCCAGGACTTTTCATGCTTAGATTCAGACCTGGGGCTTCGCAGGGTGATGTTGATTTTATCAGAGTTCACCAGGGGATCTGATGTCTTCTCTGCCGTGCTGGGCATGGAAGCTGATTTGGTGCTCCTTTCACCCGCGTCCAAAAGGACTTGTCCGTTTACCCCCCCCTCCTCCCTCACGATCCGGCTGACGCTTCTTCTGTGAAACGTCTTTGCTGCCTTGTATATCTTGTAATAGAGGATCAGAATCAAGGCCAGAGGGATATAGAAGGCGCCAAATGTGGAGTAAATGGTGAAAACTATGTGGTCATGTTTGATGATGCACTCGTCGTCCCTGCTGGCCGTCTGGTGCCGCCAAAACAAGGGCGGCATGGAGATAAAAATGGATATGATCCACACCACTGCTATCATGATGGCAGCGTGCTTAGGTGTCCTTTTCCGTGCGTATTCCACAGCGTCCGTGATCGCCCTGTACCGGTCCAGAGCGATGGCAGAGAGATGCAGGATGGAACACGTGCAGCACGTGATGTCCACGCTCAGCCAAATGTCACACACCACCTGCCCCATGATCCAGGCCTCCTTTACGATGTAGACAATGCTGAAGGGCATCACCAGGACTGCCACAAGGAAATCAGTCACTGCAAGAGAGCAGATTAGATAGTTGGCCGGGTGGTGGAGCTTCCTGGTCACAATTATCGCAGTCATCACGAGGGAATTGATGGCCGTTGTCATTAGAGCAAGCACAGACAGGGTAATGGAAATGAGAATCTTGGATGTCACCCATTTGAATGGTTCTGATGTACTGTTTTGATCAGTTGAGTTTATTAAATCCATGTTCCCTTTTAAAGGTGATCTTTACCCGTAGCAGTTACCTGTTGGAAAAGTAAAAACATTCAGAAAGTGCATCCTTAATCTGCAAGAGCTCTTGAATTTTCTCATCTTAAAAGACTGTTTGCCCCCAACCTTACAAGATCTTTGGACTTATCATTAGAAATTATTCTGTCTCCAAACAGATTTTCCTGCCTAGCACTATGTGGGATGCTCTACTTTTAGGCTTGCACTGTTCACTCCATTAAGCAATGTAACAACTGTCAAAAACATTAATCCAGCAGGCATAATGCTTATTTTCTCTATGTAAACTTTTTTCAACCCCGTCAGTATGTGAGTCATTCCTTATGTATAGATAAGCATGGGCTTTCTAAATTGGGTCATAGTTTTCAAGAGAAAACAGAAATGTAAAACACTGCAGTACAAATAGAAGAAAAAAATATTTGCAGGTTGAAAGTGTCACTTTAGAGCTTCCTCTTCCTCAGCTCTAAAATGAAACAGCTAAATATATTCTAAAGCTCCAGATTGTTAACTCATTGTCTAACTGACATACTATACATAGGTTAGTCTTCAGAGCATCTTTACTTTTTCCTCAGGTTTTGCTATTCCGTGGCTGCTGCTGAAGAAAACTGCAAAATACTTGGATGCCAGTTGTTCTGCTAATGACTCTCACTATGGAAACAGCCTAATGCCTCTTATGGCTCTGCTGGAAGAAAAAAGCAGGGAAATAGTGATGAAATAAGTTGTTGATTATGTTCTGGGGATGAGCACCCTACTTTCTTATCAAGAAGAGTTTTTGAGGACTCTCTGGATGGCAGCTGAGTTACGAGTTTCCAGTGTTTTACTGTGAGTTATAAGCTCTACTCTAAAGAGGGTCAGAGATCATCCTCTTGTGAGTTCTGACCTGCAGTTTCTCAAGTGAGTAAGATCTGCCTGATGAATCCCTAAGTGGGGTTTTGTCTGACAGATTTGGAAGTTTAGTGAGTGACTTGCACTTGCGTTGCATTGGATGCCACAGGTATGGAAATATGTGAAAGAAGGGAATAATTTTTCTTAGGAAGAATGGGTCTCATTAACATAACTAAAGCATTTTGATGTTGTGCTGGAGTGGCTGTAAAGGAATCTCATACACTGTTTAAAACCTTAGGCCCAGCTCACTAATTTGGCTTGATATTCTAACCTGGTCAATGATCAGTATGCCACTGACCTAATCAAAAAACCTTTTGATTGCTTGACCACCATCTCAGTGAATGGAAACACAATTTCATGTGCTGATATTTACAAATGCTGAGCAGATTCTTGTCCTGTACACAAACTGATTATGATGTCAGTGCTCTTTCTGCATTCTTTATTCTGAACTTGAAATATACTTTACACATGTAAAAACAGATCTTTCGTCGTATCAGTGTCACCTCAAAACCTGAATCCACCACAATTGCTAGTTTGTGGGTATTTCTGTCTGTAGCCAGTTGCTTTCTAGAGAAAGAAGAGGTAGATATAGTATTATGTGGTGAATGTTCCAACTCTGCTAAATAAATCTTCTTTTTTGAGCTTGTATAAATACATGGGAAAAAAAAGCTTATTGGCAAAAACTAAGACGTGATATCCAGCAGTTGATCATACTTTAAAACAGTTACTCATTATGGTTAATTACCTTATAAATTTCCAACTCTTCGGATATTAGTCCTTAATTGCAAGCAAGAAAAAGCAATTTAGAGATAACGAAAGCTGATTAATGGCTTTTGAAGGATTATTCAGCTTGAGACCGTGGAGTAAGGAAAATAGCATGGGCAGGTTTGTAGAACTGCTGTGTAGGAATAAGTAAGTTCCCCTAGTGCTGCTGTGATTTCGAGACCCTTTATAAGAAGACAGTGACAGAAAAGTGCTTACTTGCCAAGTGCAGTGATTATGCTCCTCTGTGTGGCCTTAAGATTACCAGCTGGTGTGCTCAGCTTTCATTCAGGCTGCTGGCATGGCAATACAGGGGTGTTGGAGACTCTCACATGGAGTTTTTTGTGAGATGGATAATTATGCTGGAGTCTCCTGTTCATGGGACATAACCTGTTCTTTATGATACCCATCTGGACATAATGCTCTCCTGCTCCTGTGTGGAGAGTTAAGAGCCTCTGCTGTTCCAACAGATGTCCAGGATGGTCCTCAAGGGCTGCTGTGAATACCAGAGTGTGGCTCCATCCAAGGCAGACAGCGATAACCCCATACTGATCTGCCCAAGATCTGCCCTCCATGGAGGTGCCTCCTTTTGAGGTTAAAGAGCCACTCTTTAACCACTGGCTGTTCTGCCAGTCACAAAATTTGGTGGCTTTCCTGTTCAAGTGGAATGGGGATCTTCTAACTGATGGCAGCCAGTTAGAATCTTTGGTGTTGGAAATATCCGTGCAAATTTATTGGGTGATCATTAACTAAAAAGATTATTTTATAAACATGTGGAGTTGACATGCTGACAGCATTTAAGGACTTCTGCCTCTCTCTCTTTGTCACACCCAAGATGAACTAATTCTGGATTTTCTCTTGATAAATTGAACTCATTTCAGCCAGTTGCCATTACTGGCTTCTGTCCTCAGTACGGAACCGACCCACTTTTAGGAGTGTGAAGGATAATCCTGTCAACAGTGCACTGAATTAGGAAAGCTGGCTTCTGCCCCTGGGCTGTAGGCTTTCCTTGTCAATTTTGGAGAAAATTCATTATGGTGTTTCTGCTAAGTCTCTGTAACACAGCAGCAAGAGTACTTCCCTCGTAGTCTACTCTGTGTATTTGTATTGCTTTCTCTTAGCAGCATGACTTATCTCTTTTATGAATTTATTGCAGGGAAGATCTAATCTCAGCTCATCCCCACAGGTGCTATGGGCATCCTGGTATGGCTACACACTGTGCTTCCAGCTTGGGCTTCACTGTCATTCCCGTGAATCCACCAAGCTCCTGCCTCACAGAGCAGGCACAATCCCCCTGCCCTGTGGTGTGGTGTCTCCTTATTGCCTCGTACCTGACATAAGACTTCAAAATAAAGCACGAAAGACTTGGAACTCTCTTCTCTGAGCATTGAATCGACCTTGGTGAATGAAAACAAACTTGCAGCCCTGCTGAACTGGAGAGATATCTGTGTTTCAACAAATATAGAATGGGTTTAGCAGTGACTATTTTCAGCATGCAACTTTTTTTCTAAAAATTATTACAGTCCAGATGTTTTTAAGGCTATTTTTGTGGAACTGGCAACTCAACGCCCCACTTGAAGGACTAAGCTGAATCTATCTTTGAGTTATCTAACTCAAATTCCCTGGGAGGAGTTCTTGATGCAGTTGGAAGTGTTGCCTTTGGTTATTACCTTTTCAGTATGTAGCTGTTGTTGGAAAACTCTGGAAAGACTTGAAACTTTAATTTGCATTATACTGTCCTGAATTTAAGATTGGTGAACAAGACATCTTGTACTTTATCTTTGTTATTTATTTATTATTATTTCTGGTTGCTGAACAAGAGCTCTGTAAACAAAGGAAGTTGATGTTCACCTAAGATAACATGTCTATTCTCTTGGATACATGAACATTATTATTTTTCAAGGAATTAGCCACTTTTACAAATCCTTTTTTTTTCTTTCCCTTCCAGATATGGCATGTTGGGGTGACCAGAATATAAGCACTTCCTTGTCTTTAAATGCACACATGTATCATCCTACTGATCTTGTCCAGAAGGCATGGTGCAGCCTCATCACAAAAGTAAACACTGAATTTGTCTAGTGGCCACTCAAAGAAAAAAGGATGTTGTTGGTCCTCCTCATGAGTATGTGTTATTAAGCCCATAACCACTCATTTGTGTCTGAGATTTAAAAAATACTAATAGGATTACTCCTGTTCAATAGTATTAGCGTGTCTTTCCAGGTTTGGAAAACAGTATACTCTGCCTTTCAGTAAACCTGAAAAATAATGTGAAATGCTGACAGCTGGGGAAATGTGGCTGGGAGTAGCTTTGAGAAGGGCATCAGCATCAGCCTGCTGTTTGGGATTCTGAATTTAGACTGAATGTTGGGGCCTAGATTTTTTTCTTTTTTGGTTGGTTGGTTTGGGTTTTTTTGTTTGTTTGTCTTTTAATATTGCTTTAAACAATGGCAGTGGGGAAACTTGCTGATTTGGGTTTAAGTATTGCTTTCGAATAAGTTTTCTGAGTGTACTTGGAGGGGTGGGAGGTGGTTCATTAGCAAAATCTGTCCTAATTAAAAAACAGTAAGTACTCAGCAAAATGGGCCACTGACTAAACTAAGGGTATTTGAACTGCTACAGGCAGCAATAACAGCCTTTGTGCATTAAGTAAACACAAAGCTGTGTCAGGGGCACAGATACATCCTGTTCTACTTGTTTTCAGCTATCCTGTTTTTATTACCTGTTTTTGTGTAGGCTAACCAGATCCTCACTCAAGGTAAGACTAAAATAACCATAGAAAGATAAGGTAGTTATAAATATCAGCCTTGCTTGGGAGCTGAAATTTCTTCTGAAGCTTTTATAAGCTTGTAAAAATCCTTCCTGCTGTGACTGTGTGCCTTTAGATCTAACCATGTGATGTACTAATGACAAGTAGATTAGTAATGATCCATCATATTAAAAGTGAGTAGAGGGAAATATTACTCCTTTGGATTAAACAAATCTGTTTAAGAAGGATGAGCTTGTACTTGGATCTGATAGGGGATGTACTTTAAGCTTGAACCCTAGTGTCCCAACAGGTGGAGCAAGAGTAGAGGGACACTTTCACTTGATTCTTAGCGTCCTTTAATTCTTTCCTCCCAATAGTTCTTGCTAAGGCTCCTAAAGCTACAGTGCGTCCCCCTGGGACAAGGCAGGGATAACGAGAAGGTTTGTGAGAGAAGTTGCTTGCCAGCCAAAGGCTGCTGCAGCAAACTTGACTTTCCTGGAATGCAAAGTAGATGTCTGTCAGCAGATTGAAGTGCGAAGCAGAAATTACAAGGTTGCCAACTTTCCTTACCCAGTCTGTGTTTCTGCATGCTTAAAACCCTTTTTTCCTCCCCCTTCTTACCCCCCT